ATAGAGGCAATTCCCCAACTGAGGCTCCCTCAACCCAGGTGTGTCAAGTTGACACTAAAGCTATCCAGCACACATAGTAAGTTGTCATGATGGCTGCAATTTCAAGTGGACCAGAGCAAGAGACAGAGAACAAACATTGCAAAGTGTTAACAACTGGCAAAGCTAGCTGGGTATTCTTTCACCTTTTGTAAAGATTTAAAGTTTTAAAATTACTACAAGAAAAAAGAAATGTAAAAGAAGATAGTAAAATACCAGGACTCAGGAGCCACCTATAAAAGAAAATAGAATTGTACAAGAAAGTCCAGTATGGTAGCTCACACGTGTAATCCCGGCACTTGAGAGACTGAGGCAGGAAGATGGCAAATTCAAGGACAACCAGGGCTACACAGCAAGCTCCTGTCTCTAAAAATAACAACAAAAAAGAAAGATTGGAAATGCATTGCTTCCAAGTTCATTCTTGCAGAACCAATTCCTCCCTAGCAGGAAAACCAACTGACATTGGGAGTTTTGCTCTTATCCTTGCTGTTACTGTTCACACAGGGCTGTTTGCTGCCCCAGCCCTTCCTCTTCAGAAAGTGTTTTGTCAGAGGTCGCAGGAAATGGGGTGCCTAGCACAGAGCCCTCACTGAAGGGAAAGCTCCTACAGAAGGCCCAGGTTGCTGGCTCTTCCTTCTTCAAAGGACAATGCCCAAGGCCACACTGCCACTGCCAGCTGGAAATGCCTGAGTAGCAATGTGGCCTGCTGCCCAGAAGGACAAGTGCCAGGGTCCTCTTGTTAGTTTTTCTTTTCTGAAGACTGAACCATGGCCAAAAACAAGGTCTTAGCTCCTGGGCAGCTGATGGGACCTCTGAGGAGCCTAGAAAAGGAAGTTGGGGGTTTTGGGAGGGACTTCCAGGGAGGAAAGTAGTCTGAATAGAGAGTTCAAGGTCTCCACAGGGTAGAGAACTGATCCTCTCCTGGTGGGCCAGGCTGTCTTTTCTCATCCCCTCCAAGAACCTCGGGACATCAACTGTTTGCTTTTTCAGGAGACCATTCCTTCCCTGCCTCTAAGAGGCCCTTTGAAGGGCTGGTACTGGGACCCCAGGCCAAAAGCCTGAGGTGCGCAGCCTAAGTCATTGCAGTGTTTTTATCTCAGGACACTCTGTGCCCTGGAACTTCTGGAGGGAAAACTCAAGAGTTTGGTTTTGACAAGTTCAGTTAGGCATTGTAGACTTCTGCATATGTGTGTCTAAAGTTGGAGAGGTGGATAACGTAGAAGAAAGTGATAAGCTAGAAAAATACAGCCAACAAGGTTGAGTCAGGAAGAAACAGAAGCCCTGAGCAGCCAGTAACAAAGAAGAGCCCAGGACCAGGTCACTTCTCAGCTGAGCTCCCAGCACTTGGGAGGAGGCTGAAGTAAGGTGATCAATGTGAATTTGTGCTACATAGGGAGTTGCAAGCCAGCCTTGGCTACACAGTACGACCTTGTCTCAAAAACAAACAAAAATTAATTGTAAAAGGGAGTTCGACTGGAGATGAGCACTCAGGAGACACGGGAACAGAAGACCCATGAGATCCTCCAAGATAGGTAGGTAGGAAAGGGCCAAGAGCCAAGCCATGGGTCTCCCCACCATTAGCTGACCTTTACCAGCTCTTTGAACCATCTGGTGGGTCTTAAGTGCGTCGTTAGGAAGACAATATGCATGTTAACTTCCACTGTTGGCCTGAGCCGCAGCTTGAACTGCAGGATTTCCAATATCTCAGGATCACCAAGGCGGGTACCACTGCCCTCACTTTTAAGTAGGAACACGTGCAAGTGAAGAGAGGTTTTAGTGTTCTGCTCCAGGTCCCCGCTGCAAGAAGCATGGGGGGGAATTCCAGCCCAAGATTTCAGGTCCACAGCTCATGCTCTGCCAGCTGCATCTGTGTGTGTATGTGTGTGTGTGCATGTGTGTGTGTGTGTCTGTGTATGTGTGTGTCTGTGTGTGTGTGTCTGTGTCTCTGTGTCTGTGTGTGTCTGTCTCTCAGTGTGTGTATGTGTGTCTGTGCATGTGTGTGCATGTAGGCCAGAAGTCAAACTCTGCCATCATCCCTCAGGAGCTGTCCACCTTGTCTTTTGAGACAGAGTGTCTCACCAGGACCTGGGGCTCACCATCCAGTTTCTACTTCCCCAGCACTAGGATTACAAGCACATGCCACCACTAGTGGCTCTTCTGTGGGGGCTGGGGCTCAAACTCAGATCCTCATGATCACACAGCAAGACTTTACCAACTGAGCCATCTCCCCAGCCTCCAGCTGCATCTTTTGGTGCCACCAGGCCAGCTCCCCAGCTGAGGGCTGTGTCTATAACCCAGTGCTTCCCATAAGACTCTCTTAGGAAAGTATCATGTCATGGATGAATAATGGTCCCTGAAACTATCAGGTCCTGATCCCTGCAACCTATAAATGCCACCTCACATGGAGAAAGGATCTTTGCAGTTATGAAGCCAGGGGACATTGAGATGGGGAGATGATCCTGAGTTAGCTGAGTAGACCAGGAGTATACGAGAAGACAGGTGGAGATTCTCATGCACAAGAGAAGATGCACAGAGAAGAGAATGTGCCCACAAAGACAGATCAGAGTGATGCAGTCGAGGCCAGGCAGCCACCAGGAGCTGCTAGGGACAGCAAGGAAGGATCTTCTCCCTGTGTCCTGAGAGACAGCCTTGCCCACATCTTGCTTTCCAGGACAGTGAGATTGATCCCACACTTACACCCCCAGGACTGTGAAGGAAGCTGTTTCTGTTGTTTTTAGTCACTAAATTTGTGGTAAGTTCTTACAGGAACCCTGAAAACAAATCTATACTGATTTCAAGGGCCCCGAGAGCTGGAGAGTTGGGTCAGTGGTCTGTCTTTTTTAATTTTAACATTTATTGGGGGAGGGAGGCATGCATTGAAATGTGGAGGTCAGAGGACAACTTGTGGAGAGTCAGTTCTCTCCTTCCACTATGTAGGTTCCAGGGACTGAACTCAGGTTTTCAGGCTTGGCAGCAAGCATCAGTAAGCTAGCTGAACCATCTCCCCAGCCTGGTCTGCTTTTTTTGACAGACAATGAAAATGTTTCATATTCATTCTCTCTCTCTCTCTCTCTCTCTCTCTCTCTCTCTCCCCCTCCCTCCCTCCTCCCTCCCTCTCCCTTTCCCCCTCCCTTCCTCCCTCATTCCCCCTCCTTCCCTTCCTCTCTCTCTCCCCTTTTCCTACCCCTCTCTCACCTCCCTTCCCTCCCCCTCTCTCCTCCCCCACTCCCCTGACTCACTCCCCTCACTCAGCCTGCTGAGTGCAGTTCTCTGCGCCCACAGTCCTCCAGCTGCTCCTCATGCTGACAGTCTGCCTTATACTGGCCCAGTCATTCCGACAGGAACACAGGAACACGTGAGAAGATACTGTACGTACTCGAAATTTTTATGTGGACTGAGAAACTTGGGCTGTGTCTTTTCCCTTTCACTTCAACCTCATAAGCATGCCTTCATTGGTATTCATTTTCTATCACTGTTTTTTTTTTTTATCTTTTTGAGACAAGGTCTCCCTGTAGCCCCAGCTGTCCTGAAACTCACTATGTAGACCAGGCTGGCCTCAAACTCACAAAGATCCACCTGCCTCTGCCTCCCAAGTGCTGGGACTAAAGGCGTGCCCTACCACGCCCATCTATATCACTTTTTAGTCACTTTGTTTTTAATTTTGGCTCCATTTGGCAAATAACTTACCTCACCTTAATGTTTCTCTGCTACAATGCTGTAAACTCCACCAAACAAAATACCATGTCTGTTTCTTTCAACAGTATGTCCCTACCTGGCAGCACAATGCTCGCCTTGCTTAGTCCAATCAGTATGTGTGCTGGACAGCTTTAGTGTCAACTTGACACACCTGAGTTGAGGGAGCCTCAAATGGGGAATTACCTTCATTGGACTAGCCTGTGGCCATGTCCATGGGGCACCTTTTTGATTGCTGAGTGATGTGGGAGGGCCCAGCCCACTGTGGGTGGTGCCATCCCTGGCAGGTGGGCCTGTGTTGCATAAGAAAGCAGGCTGAGCAGGGGTCAGGGGAGCAAGCCAGTAAGCAGTGTTCCTTCATGGCCTGTGCTCCAGCTCCTGCTTCCAGGTTCCTGCCCTGAGTTCCTACCTTAGGCTCCCTGATGAACTGTGACCCAGGAGATGTAAGATAA